CATGGATGGTAGCAAATGCCCTGTGTAGGTGGTTGCAGCAATGGAAGCAGAGCAAGTGGCAAAGAAGAGGTAAACCCATCTGGGCTGCTGCACTGTGGCAAGGTATTGCTGCCCAGGTGCAGAATCTGGTGGTGAAGGTACACCACACAGATGCTCATGTACCCAAGAGTGGGCTACTGAGGAACACCAGAACAACTAACAAGTGGATAAAGCTGCTAAGATTGAAGTGGCTCAGATGGGCTTAGACTGGCAACATAAGGGTGAATTATTTTTGGCCCGGTGGGCCCATTACACTTCAGGCCAATAGGGCAGAGATGCAACATAGAAATGGGCTCGTGATTGAGGGGTGGATTTAACAATGGACACTATTGCCCAGATTATTCACGAGTGTGAAACGTGCTGCAATTAATCAAGCTAAACACTTAAAGCCTCTTTGGCATGAAGGATGATGGCTGAAGTACAAATATGGGGAGGCCTGGCAGACTGATTATACCATGCTCCCACCAACCCGCCAAGGAAGCAACCACTGGATGGCTGGAAACATACGCTGTGCCCCACACCACCGCCCGGAACACTATCCTGGGCCTTGAGAAACAGATTTTGTGGTGACACAGCACCCCAGAGAGAACTGAGTCAGACAATGGAACTCATTTCCAGAACAGCCTTACAGACATTTAGGCCAAAGAGCATGGCATTGAGTGGGTATATCACATCCCTTACCATGCACCACCCTCTGAGAAAATCGAATGGTACAATGGGCTGTTAAAAACTACACTGAGAGCAATGGGTGGGGGAACTTTCAAACATTGGGATACACATTTACCAAAAGTCACCTGGTTGGTCAACACCAGAGGATCTGCCAACAGGGCTGGTCCAGCGCAGTCTGAACTTTTACATACTGTAGAGGAGGACAAAGTTCCTGTGGTGAACATAAAGAATTTGCTGGAGAAGACAGTCTCCTGCTTCAGGTAACAGCAAACCCACTTGTGGGATTGCTTTTGCTCAGGGACCCAAATATACTTGGTGGGTAATGCGGGAAGATGGGGAAGTCCAGTGTGTACCTCAAGGGGATTTGATTGTGGGGGAAAACAGCCAATGAATTCAATTGTACGCTATTGCCTGTTATGTAGCACTTTTATAGCCCACCAACTAGATGTCTTCAGGTCACCAGCGGCTGGCCCTGACTTCCCTCCAACCATCATCCCAACAAAGAATGAACTTTGATGAAACCAGACAAGTTCTGCAGTATCATCAGCAGGCAACAATCCAACACTGCACACAGCCTCTCCTGATCTGAAAGACTCTTACAAGAGATGGAGCCCGACATCATGGACCGGATGAACTCAGCAGCTTTATAGGGATTGGTCCATTCACTAAGGAATGATCTCTCTGTGTGTGCAGATGTATATATACATATATGAGACAAGAGTGATGGTATATTGAAAAATGTGAGATCTAAGCATGACGGAAATGGTATGGAATAATGGGTGGATACTGTGCTGGGTTCAGCAGTAGCAGTCATTTCTCGCCTTCTTAGTAGCTGGTGCAGTGCTGTGTTTTTGACTTTCAGCCTGGGAACAGCACTGATAACACCGATGTTTTTAGTTGCTGCTCAGTAATGTTTACTCTGACCAAGGACTTTCTGAGTTTCATGCTTTTCCAGGGAGGAGGGGAAGCCAGGAGGAAGCAGAGACAGGACACCTGACCCAAACTAGCCAAAGATGTATTCCATATCACATCATGTTATGCCTGCTATATAACCTGTGGGCAGTTATCCAGAAGGATTACAACACTGCTGGGGTCAGGCTGGGTATCGGCTGGCAGGTGGTGAGCGGCTGTATTCTCTTCCCTTGTTACTTCCCTTATCATTATTACTAATGGTGGTAGCAGCAGTGGTTTGTGTTATACCTTAGTTACTGGACTGTTCTTATTTCAACCCGTGGGAGTTACATTCTTTCAATTCTCCTCCCCATCCCTCCAGGAGTGGGGAGAGGAAATGGGGGGAGTGAGCAAGCGGCTGCGTGGTTCTGTGTTGCTGGCTGGGCTTAAACCATGACAAAGTGCAAGAATACAGCCACACTGAGGTCCCTCTAAAAAGCAAAACCTTATGAAATAAACTAAAAACAAAACAAAATAAAAAAACCAAAATATTTGTAGAAACATTAAAAACCATTTTCCACATCAGCATTTTTACTGTCCTTACACAGCCTAGCTGCAGAACAGGATCTCACTGTACTAAGTATTACACAAAACATAAACAGTTTACTTTCCACTTCCTAAAACATATCAAATAAAAAAATAAACACAATACTGTGAGTTTTGGCAGAATTGGCATATATTCTTCTATATGTCAATGGACAAAGCTAAAAAAAGGGAAAAAAAAGATATGTGTAGCCATTTACAATGAATTATCAAATAGAAAGCAGATATGAATACTCATTTAGAGGATCAGGCAATGTAGAAATAATGAATATAAATGGCAACTATGATATTCAAATATAATTTTATTCTTCTAGTCACAAAAGTAAGAATCCATGAATGACAGGTAGAAACACTCAAGCTAAGAAACAGGGTGAAAAAACAGCAAAGAAATGCAGTGCTAAAGCACTCCAATAATAATTCTTAAAGAAAGGATTGGTTGGGATGCAGTAGATGTGCAAGTACTGAAATTCTGACTTTCTTCTACTGCTCCTGTATAATCTCATGAAGACATAATAGACGTAATTGCTGAGGTATTAAAAATGAAACATATGGCTGCCATGGAGCTTTGAAACTACTGTAATCCCTTCTTTCTAAAATACCAATTGCATTTAGGTGCTCCCAAGAACAACTTGGTCCTTACATTTAAGCAGGTATCAGTCACTTGACTAAAGGTAGACAGTGGTCATCACGGGACTAAATTAAAAACCAGCACAAGTATGAGATTAAGGGCCATTCATATGCTTTATCACAACTGGAAATTTGCATTCAGGGTCCACTAAGTCAATCCACCCCACCATGAAAGCAGGGCCCCACAGCCTTTGTAACGTCTCTCCTTGCAGGCTGTGAGTTTTCTATTTTCATTTTGGAATTCCATTCCATTTTGGAATTTTTACACACAGAATAATCAACATGCAATATTGAAAATACTGAAAGTTTTTGGTCATACTATTAAAAGCCACTGAAAGTTTCCTAAGAGAAAGAGAAGGCAGCTCAGTCTTAATGGAAAAGACACATGTTGACAATGGAGAGAGGAATTCATCACAGTCATCTCAGGAATCTGAAAATGTAACAGGGACACACCCAACTAAAACCAAATTTCAACTGCAATCAAAAAGAACAAACCCAGAACAATTCAGCCAATCTTGTTTAGAAAAAGAAACACTATTTAGACGGGTACATTAGGCATGAAAATAAGTTGCTGAGAAAGTTACATGAAGTAGAATATCTGTATGTGCGCAAATGCTCAAAGTCAAGTTTTAAAAGAAACAGACCCAATAGGTGCATAGCTTTTCTTGAAAAACAGTTTTCTGGCAGCTTTGTTTTTCTGATCTAGGAAGGACTATTTTGGTTTCAAGTTCTAGTCTGCATTTGTGTTTGTCAATTTATATTGCTAACAAAAAGTTAACAAAACATTCCCCTTACAGTTTCTGTGTAAACAATAGGCATTTTTGTGTGAGACACAAAAAGCTATGCATGTAAACAATACAGTTCTTCTTGGCTATGTTCCAAAGCAAGCCATAAAAAGAACTGTATGCATTTATAAATGAAAATCCCAAGACTGAAGTTCACAAACTATGGAAACAATATCCTCGACTATCCTGGCTTCCAAATAGCCAGGTAGCACATAAGGATGTCAGAGTGTCTCACTGTTCCTATGCAAAGCCCTAGCAACAAGACTGTACTTGGTGAGCATTTACAGGACCTGGCTTCAATACACATTCCTAACATACAGGCCTAGCCTGACTTTGACAACTTGCCTGGTTACCCAAACAATCCGCACAACAGTTTGTCAGCCCCAGCAGGGATCTGTGTGAGATACTATTGTAACAATGATGGCAAAAGGACTTAATACCATAACGTAATTTAGTAAGTTCCCCCTTGCAATATCCTCTATATGTCCTCATCACAAAAGGGAACAAAGCTAATCTTCCTCAAACTCATGCAGAAATTCACAGGAGGGCATGAATTTTTGTCCAAACAAACATCATCCCTCACATCCACTGCTGATGGATCAGCTCAGTGCAGTTTGGTTTTATTTCAAGGTGATTAGAAAACACATGTACAGCTCTCAGCCATCTAAGCTGCTGAAGCACATAAGGCTTAAAAATACTTACCTTGGTGGTCTTCAGGTCTTTTCATGCAACACTAAGCAACGGTTATAAACCACCTGCTAGCATAGGAGGGAGGAATGAACACTGTCCAGACAAACGCTGGTGCACTCCACTCCCACCTGCATGCCAGACATGCACCTCTACTCCACGGTTAAAGTTCAGAGGTGCTGCAGTTTGGCTCCCAACCCAGCAGCCAGATGGAGCAGGCTGAGGCCCCTCATGGCACAGATGCCATCCTCCAGGGATGCAAAGTTTTAGGCCAACACGCTCCACCCAGTTCTCGGAAGAGCATCCCACAACCACCTCTGGGAAGGGCAGCAGATCATCTCCTTCCCGAGACACCTTTGCACCTTGCCAGAGGGACTCCCACCGGAGCTACTGCGCTTCCCACCCAGGAAATCGAAGTAATCAACCAAGCACAGCCTCTGCAACTGTCAACCCCGCAAGGGAAGGCAGGCCACCGGCGGGCAACCCCGGGAGCGGGCAATGGCCAGACGGGACAGGCTGCCTCCCCCGACCGGCCCCCGGCTGTCCCCTCACCACCACCTCCCCACTTCGGGGAGGCCCTGCCGCCTCTGCCTGCTCCAGCGAAGGGCCCTGCGGCGCCCCGGCTCCTGCCGTCCCGGGCAGAAGCGAGTGCCTGCCCATTACGGCCACCGGCCGGGGCCAGCGAAAGGCAGCCGCAGTAGAGCCTCTGTGAGGCGGGCACCTACCTCTGGCCTGGGCTCGGAGCAGGTCAGGGGCTTTGCGGGGCTGGGGGCGATGAGAAACAGGGCTGGGCCTGCGGCGGGAGGAAGGACAACAGAACACTCCCCCTCCCGCCCCGGCTGTCCTGAGGGAGTATGAATGGCACAGGCCACAGCCGGACGCTCCTCCTCCACGGCCGTGCCCGTCCGCCGCGGCGCTGCTGTTGCGCTGGGGACTGCAGTGTGTGCGAAAAGGGAGGAGGCGGTGGCTAACGGCGGCAGTGAGGCCCGGTATTGCCGCGGTAGCCCTCTCCCCCGGCACCGCCCCCTCTTCTCTCGTCTCAGCCAGTGCCGCCATTTTGCCCGCCTGCGGCAGCCGGTGGCCAAGAGACTCGAGAAGAGTCCGCGCTGCCTGCGGGAAATGGCCCCGGCCCGCGGGGTGCTGGGCGCCCTCCGGGCGTCTCCTCGGCGGAGTCGGTGCAGGAGCTGCGAGCGGCCACAGGTCGAGGGCTGGCCGCTTTCTCGCTTCACTCACCCTCACGGCAGCCTGGTGCCCGAACCCGGCGGCCCCCCGCCGCCCTGCCCGCGCTTCCCTCAGCAGTGCGGGTTTTCACAGCTCGCCTTTCCACACGTAACCGTCGTCCTTCGGTTGTAAAATGAGGTGTGAGGCATTTCTCTCGCTGTGGCCAGCCAGCAGGTTCCCGAAGTGAAGAAAAGGGACGGGTGAATAAAATGGCTGTCAGCAGAGGCGCCAGCCGGACCTTGTGACTCCTGGGCCTCCTCCGTCCATTGGTCCGTGTTCCCCTTCCAGCAGGGCTGTTCTTGGGGTTTGATCCCTCTTCAGCTGACAAATTCCTCACCCAGCCGTCTTTGGTTTCTTCAAGGTTCCCAGTGTTCCTCGGAGAGGTGGAATGGATGTGTCAGTGGCTGGTTTCTTTCATCACTTCTTAGATCATTTTCGTAGGCTTCCCACGTTAGTGAAAGTGCAAAACCAACCAAATCTGTCTCTTTAATTATTACAACATTCAACATTAATATGCAGCATTCTAATATATTAAAACTTTTAGCACAAATACTCAACCCACAGCATTCTGATATGATACTAAAATACTCCTTGAATGTTAATGGTCTTTCCGTGTTTATATGTAGCTAATCCAACATGAGAACAATGGTTCTAGCCACAGGTATGGGAAAATGCATTCTCAGTTTTCTTGTAGGTTAAATAAACAAGCATTCGCTGGCAAATAGGGATGTAAATCCAAATACTGCAATACTGCTTACCCCTTCAGATTGCTCCCATTAAACATTGAGAATATTTAACAGTGAGCATGCTTAATATAATTCATGTCTAATAATACTAAAAGGTATAACTCACTGTATTCATTAGAATACCAGGGTGTGTATGTCTACCTTAATATCTGTGTTCCATCAATCGCCATATAAATTCTTACAAACAGTTATATTCATTTTAATGTGAATCCCTAATTTAACACACAGGCATATGCTTAGAATTGATGTAACACAGATAATAACCCTAATGAATACAACTGTAAAAATTTATATAGTGATTCACTGTAATCAGTTCGTACCAGAAGCAGCATAGCCTTTTTATAAGTCTGTTAATGTTTATTCTTCAGAAATAATAAAAAGGCAGTTAGATTGAGGTATCCAGTGGAAACACTACCAAAGAAAAATGCTGATTTACTGTTTTTTTTTTTAATGAAGCTCATTGGGGCAGCCTCCTGGAAGACAAATAATAAATATCTTAAAAAAACTCAAGCATGCGTTTCTTTTTTTTTTTTTTTTTAGGAACCTTGAGTTAAAATTTACTCACCTTGTCCTTTGAATGTATCTGTTGCAATCCCATTAAATTTAAAAGTTTATATGTCTCAGATATTGCAAGGTAAATAGTGTATCCTTACAATTCAGTAAAGGTCAGTAGCAGGTGTGTACTTTTTGATTGACAAGTTTGATCCTGTCCAAATTTACCAAGTCAGTTACAGTTTTGTAAAGATGATGATTCTTTTCTGGAATAGGTAAATCCTAAATGACAATGCTGGGGGGGGTGGGGGTGGAGGGGGGGGAAAGCATGCAGGAGATTTATTTCATTGCAAGCTCTGGCACTTGTATTTCAAAACTCAGAGGAGGCTTCTTACCTGTCCTCGTTTCCTGTGGTTCCGCTTTTGCTCAAAATAATAAATCTGAATTTCAGTCAGTGCAAACTCCGAGCTATTTACTGGAGAAGGGAGCATACTATTTTATTTCTCTTAAGAGTTCTGAGAATTTCCTTGGTTGCATAAAATAAGTTAAAACCTGCTAACGGAGTAAACTATTCTAGGTAAATTCTGCCAACCTCCAGGTCTCCTTGGCAGATGTATCGCACAGTGTGTGACTGCAAGTATGTGAAGTATCCCACTGAAATTAATAGAACTCCTCATGTCCTTAAAATTGTAATACACAAACTATTCGCACACCTGGGACTTGGCTTTTACCTTGCTTGGTTTTAGTCTGTGAAAGGGTTATTAGTCCACACTCTCCAAATAATAATTTGGCATGTCTCCACATTTTTAATGTTTACTTTGTTTAAAATGGTACATGCAGGAGCAAATATTTTTCTTACTGGCCTTTCTCATCTTAAAAGATAAACCAAAAAGTGATTTCTGTTATGGAATGCATCTTTGTGTACAGTTATAAGGATAGGAGAAATGGATTATTTTTCTTATTTGCTGATTATTAGTGAAGACAGAGCTTTTAGGAAATTATTCTTTTAAAGATAATTAGTGCTAGGTAAAAAAAAAGATTATTTCCAAATCAGATCATGGATGTTGGTTATTATCTTTTTTTTCTGGTGCCCAAAGTTATAATTATTGTCATATCAAGATCTATAGGCTTGCATTCCCAAAGCGATGTCAGAGTGAAATCTTGACTCCTCATTTTACTCAGTCTTTTTATTCTGCATCCTGTAGGGGACCCATCTGGTGTTTATCTGGGTAGCTGTCTGGAAAGCTGGGTACACTGGATGTGAGTTATCCATGACTACTTTCCTGTGGCTCCCTTGGAAGTAATGCCTTTCAACAATATGGCCTTAGGCTGGCAGGAAAACAGACTAAGGAGCTTGCTTCTTTCTGGATGACTTTATCCTTTTAGAATAAACTTCATGAAAAAGTACTCCTTTCCTACCTCTAAGTATACCTTGCTGAGGGCAAAGGCTTTTGATGTAATTTCTGAGCTACCATTCAGAGCTTAAGGGTAACAGTCATCCATGTAATGGGTTTTATCAACTGAAGTGTCAACCCCCATTCAGCTACCCTTCCTGTATGGGGGCTAAGCATATACTTCCAACTAATTTCAGAATTGATAACTTAGCCACTTACTATGACATTTAAAGCAATATTAAAGTATTTCTTATCAGTTTTGTGTATAATGTAGTTTTGATTTTAGGAGAACTGTATTCTTCCAATGTTGCTCCCAGTGGAGTATAAAGCAGTCTGAGTTTACAGGGTTCCTTTTAGTTTGCATAGGATATTCTTACAAAAAAGGAGCTGTGAGCTGAATTCTTTTTGTTGTTTTGTTTTTTTCTCCTTAAATTTAGTGCTGAAAAGGTCCTGATTAAGAAAGCAATCTAGTCAAAATTTTTGTTTTGGGAAAGAATCACTTGCCTTGGAAGTCTGTTTGAATTGCTGTGTCTTGGGAATTTATCACTGATCTGAGGAGAAAGGGACAGAGAAAGAATTACATACTGCAAATTTGTTTACTACTAGAATCAAAAGTGACAACCCAGAATTGACTATGGGATATTCTGCATCTTTAGTCTGACAGGGTGCAACAGTCCTGTGGCCATACAGACTTCACAGTTGTCATTCATACCACAGTCCGAGGCCTCATGGATGTTGTGGTTATAAATGGAGACAGATCGTGTTCAGGACACCCCACTCCAGCAACAACCTTTTACACAACTTTTTACTGCTGGAGCTGAAGGACCTTAGCAGTCCTTGAGCACTTCACCCAATTAAGAATGGTCATATGCTCTCCTGTTAGTTGTTAAAGAGTAGGTTTAGATCACCACTGTTCGGCATCCAACTTTGCAATGACTTAAAGTATTCTTGACCCTCAGAATTAATACAGAGATCTAAGTGAGACATCTGGGCTTTGTGCAGGTTTGGGAACAGAGTGAAATAGGTGTCTCTGTAAGACAGTTCGATGCTCTTTAAATAGCTGCTGTTAGCTGCTAGGAAACATTGCTCCAGGAGCTGATCTGAGCTGCTGTCTTAGTGCATCTGAATTGTGGTTGTGCATAAAATGCCTTGAATCCCTTGGGGAAGTGATACTCTGGACAGGGCTGGTACCTGCTTAAGAAGGACTAAAAGGCAGTGGTGTGGTGCCAGGGACTGCCTTTAGTGAAGTAGGCAGGTGGCTGCCCACCCCAAAAGGAAGGAGGCTAAGGATCTTCTAAGTCTGAAAGAGTCCAACTCAGTGTGCCATTCCGTAGATGTCATAACCATGAGCCTACAAACAAGGCTATGGAAGAACTTCTAGCTGCTATTATCTGCTATTCTAGTAAAATCAGACTAGAGAGTGAGCCTGATCCCATCACCCAAGGATGAGCATTTCCCTTGTGTGCCTGGCTGAAAGTATTAGTCATTACCTGTTGCTTCTAATTATGTCTTCAAAAAAGCAGAGCAGTGAGGGAAGATCTCAGCGTGCAGATACTCACGTGAAATTCCCACAATATTGTGGAGTTCAGCTATGGCGTCTTGGTATATACCAGAATTATCAGTTGCTTGTACAGCATTATAGGTTAGATCTGCTGATAAATCTCCCACACAGGGAAGAGATTCACTGCCAGCCATCAAAGTGCTTCCCCAGAGCAGAGCTGGCCTTTCAGCGCTCTTGGGTGGCAACACTGAAAAGTCAGCTTAGACAGGAGAGGTGCGTTTGGGGTGAACTGGTTGCTTTTGAGAAGAGCTTGAGAGCATGCTTCTGTTTAAGCCTGTCCAGCACTTTCCTAAGTAGTAAACCAGTAAGTATATATAGATGCAGATGGTAAAATACTGTTCTGTGCTGGTGCTCAGCACACTGCAGTACTGTTAATTAAGCTTTGTTAGTTTGATGTCCAGTTTTTCTGACATAGGTTTTTTGATTTGCAGAATTCTAAAAGCCTGCCTTTTTTATTTTTAAGTGCAAGTACATTTTAAAAAGATTTTCAAAATTTCTTTATGTCCAGCTTCTCTAATAAGATTGGACAGATTCTCACAGTTTCTGTTGCTAATATGATTCCTGGCAAATAGAGCAGAAGGTTCAGGAGAACAAAAGAAATGATCTAATTTTAGTAATGGTGCAGACTGAGTCTGTCATTTTTCTCACTGTTATCCGCCTACCCTTTCTGAATGTCAGAACCTCTCCCAGCACTGCCTCTTTTCAGTTTGAATTGAATTCTTGTTCTTCCTCAAGGACTGGGCATGATGAATTTTTAGATACTCCTCTGAACAGAAAATGGAGTATTTGAGCAGCTTATCAGTGAAATTCTGACTTGTCACAGGTAATTTGCTAAGAATGAACCACTTCTAGTGAAGTTGTTTTTGCAAATTAGAAGACCTTATACCTGAAACTTCACTTAATATGTATGTCCAATTTCTATTACCCATTTTAAATCTTAAACTGAAGCTTGAGTCTTTTACCATATAAAGACAGTAAAGAAATTTAGTTTCTGAAAGATAGAGGTTGCATTTAGTGTAGTAGGTCTGCTCAGCTAGGAAGGTGCTCAGACTTCTCTCCAGTGAAGTTCTTCAGCCTGTGCATAATTGAAGTATGAGAATTAATATAAAACGTATTCTTTCAAAGGCAATGGAAATACTAACATGTTTAAAATTGAATATATGCTTACAAACTTTGCTAGGTTTGGATCTCGGGGGGATTGTTCTATTGAGCAACAATTTAGTCAACCTTTATTCTTGTGCTCTTGTTTTGGATGTGAGAAATAAACAGGCTGTATTTGCAGCTTGGAGGAAGAAAATTACAGACATCTGATGTGCGGAACTGGATAAGAAAACAAAGTGTAAAGAATAACATGGTTTGAAGTGAAAATTGCTTGAGCAGTAACAAAATGCAGAGGACAGCCTTTCTTGGATGTTAATTTGTCGTGTGTACAGCAAAAATACTGTTGTGGTTAGAAATAAATTACAATTCAACATTGAGAGACATAATATATGTTGAGGAGTTGTATCTATGTTGTTTTTTTCTGAAGTCATTAGGCCTGAAAAAATGAAAGTTAAAATGTATTCCAGGAACTGAAGCTTACAAAAGCCCTCTGCCAAATAGGCAAGGTTTGTAATAAAATCTCCCTTATCTTGACCAAGCAGCTCATCATTTAACCAGGAAATGGAAGGGAAGGACCATTCTCTCTCCATTCCTGTTTCCCCTGCATGAAGAGGTTTGGATGCTTCCATGCTGAGGCTCAGCTGAACGCACTGTCCCGTACTAGCCTGAGGGGCTGGATGCAGCAAGTTGAGTGGTGGTGGGGAATGCATTGTACCATGCAGTGTGAACAAGAGTCAACTGCCCCCTTTCATCCTCTCCATCTCCCGCCACCGTAAATACATACATAGGTGCCAACCTACCCCTTCCCAGCAGTGCTCAGTCTTGCTTATGCCTTACCTTCTTGTTCTTGTTACCTGGCCATTGTTCTCCTTCCACCTGCAGCCATGGAATAGCAAAGTGATTAAATGAATGTTCATGAAATGCTGCTTTACAGGCGGAAGAATAGAAATGGACCAGAGGATCTGGGGGTATGGAGACTTTTCCCCAGAGTAGGGGAAAATCAGCTTTCCGAGGTCTCACTGTTGGATGTTCATAGCTCTTGTTTGTCACAGGATGATTTTCTGGCTGGTCTAAGGCATCCGCACCCCTTCTGGTGTGCCTGTGGCACAGGTTCAGTCACCATTTCAGCCAGCCTCTCCACTGCTAATAACAGCTCTTACTGGGGTGCTAATACTGTGGTAGTGTGGTAATGATGTCTGTGTTCTTGAGGCACTTTTAGAAGTCTGGCATATAGCCCACGGCTGGAGCTCAGATTCTGCAACAATAATGTTTATGTTGGCAGGCCTTCAAGCAGAAACTCACATTCACTCCAGCTGGCTGGTGTGATTCTAGCAATCAATTCAGCTTTTCCAGTGGCAAGAGTTTGTTGATACAGCTTGTTGCTCTTCCTGTGGCAAAACACATCAATAACTTGGGAAGAGAACTAGTTAGGCAGTCACAGAATCACAGAAGCTTTGAGGTTGGAAGGGACCTTTGGAGGCCATGTGGTCCACGCCCTGCTTAGAGCAGGGTCAGCTACAGCAGGTTGCTGAGGGCTATGTCCTGCCAGATTTTGAATATCTCCAAGGATGGAGACTGACATTCTGGGCAACCTGTTCCAGTGTTAGACCTTATACCCACTAAAAACTTCATACGTTTGAATGGAGTTTCCTGTTTCAATGCATATCCATTGCCTCTTGTTCTCTCACTGGGCTCTACTTAGAAGAGTCTGGCTCTATCTTCTTACTCATTCGCATCAGGTGTTTATATATATTGATAAGATTCTCCTGAGCTTCTTCACACTAAACAGTCCCAGCTCTTTCTCATACGAGAGATTATCCAGTCCCTTAACTCTCATCCTGGCCCTTTGCCAGATGCATTCCAGTGTGTCCATATCTCTTCTATACTGGAGAGCCCAGGACTGGATTGAACACTGCAGATGGGACCACACCAGTGCTAAAGAGTGGAGAAGGGTCACTTCCCTTGACCTGCTGAAGAACCATTGGCCTTCTTTGCTGCAAGGTCAGCTTGCTGGTTCATGGTCAGCTTGGGATCCCCTAAGACTCCCAGGGCTTTTCTTGCAAAGCTGTTTTCCAACTGGTCATTCTCAGCCTTTGCTGGTACTTGGAGTTATTCATCCCTCAGTGCAGGACTTGGCAATTGTCTTGGTTGAACTTGGTGAGATTTGTTGTGAGCTTTTATAAAGAACTACCCAGGGTAGAGCTGGAGTGATGGAGATTTAAATCCCTGAGGTTCTCACAAGATCCACATATTGTTAGTTGCCTTATTTTTTAACTTATGGTCCTCATATCTGTAAGAACCTGTCATCAGGATTTTACCATCATCAGGATATCATCATCGTGAGCTCTGGAGGCTGTCAGAAATCTGAGATGGGGACAAAAGCAATCCATACAATGGTGAGCTTTGTAAGCCTATGCAGAAGAAAGGCACTGCAGTTATTTAATTCTCCGTGTTGTAATCTGAGTCCTAAAATTTTGTTTAAATGATAGCAAGTTTGCCCCAAAATAAATGTGTGTAAGTGGAATCCTCTTGGTTATGAATGAACCACTTATTTTCTGTATATTTATATAACTGAAATTCATAGTTTCCTCTGTATACTGTGTTTTTTTCTGGAAGGTTGTTCTTTCCAACAACAAGGCCTTACCGCCTCTGCCCTCAGCTCACCCATGGTGAGGAATTAGTGTCCATGTGGTTTCCTGAGTGTACAAAATATGCTGGCTGTGAAATGTCACTGACTGGAATCACCAGAAGACTGAAAAATGGTCAGGATTTATAAATTTTTTTCTTTGCCTTTACATGTTGTCCGTTATTTTGGGGGCAGAGGGACCTAAAGCCTCACAGAGCAGTCTGGTAGAACTTCCAGTTTCTTCCTTTGCTTTTGCCATTCACATAGGACAGTTATAAATTCACGATGTGAATGTATGCCCAACTGTGAAGATTTGTTACTTCAGGCCCTACCTTGAATCTAGACTTTCAAGTCTACAATGGATGGCTCAGACAGTGCATTAAGGACATCAGGAGCATAATTCTGGTTTCTGGGGAGTCAGTAATGAATATGTTTTTATGCTTTTGTGTTGGAGGCAGCTTGTATTTTCAGCCTGTTTGGAAGTCAGAAGTACCCAGGTCTGTTCTTTTATCCACACTGAGGTATCTAAGCACATTGAAAACCCTCTACCTCCCTTTCTTTACCCAAATTCACTGACTAATTTTTAACAGATAAAGATAACCTACTTACTTTTAATTTACTACTTTGGTTTGAGATTGCTTTGGCTTCCTTCAGGTTTTATGCTGCAAATTCAACAATAGCACCAAAATTCGATTTCACAAGCAGATACGCAACTAGAATATCAACATTATTAAGACAATATAGCAAAGAAAGGAAGTAGAAATGTTGCTAAAGTTCATTTTGGATATTTATAGTTAATCTGCTCACTTCTGCAGGTCATGGGATAGGGTCTTCATAGCATTTTAGTATGAATCTATTTGGGTGCACAGAGGTCTGGACTGCAGATATTAACCCCTCAGCTCCATTCCTTGCATGACCGGCTGTAGCTGAGTGCCTTGCCTGGGACAGCCTCGCTGTCTGCATGTCCTGCAAGTGCAGTGCCCTGCACCTTTCCACTGGGATGCTTTGAATCAGAGGGTGAAATAATGGCCTTGTGTTTCAGTTACCAGACTGATATGCTTCCAGGAGAAAAAAGTGGACATTTCTTTAAACAAACGGGGTTTCATTAAACCTTCATTAAAACTGGTAACTTAAGCTTTCCCTGGAAATTAGGTACTGTCAGGGTAAGTTGGTTGGATACCAGGTGGTAGGAGGGAAAACATAATTATTAAAAAAAGCATAACCCAAATCCTGCTTTGTAAACAGTGTTCATTTCTTGTAAGTAGGTCAGAGTTGCTGCAGAAAATGTGGTAGTCATACTAAATGGGCTCTGGTTTGCTTAATAAATCCTGTTAACATTTTAGACCTTTTTTTCCCTTTTTAAAATTTCGATTTTGAAGTCAGATGATTCATGATAATATGTTTTTCCTTTTGCAGTTAAGATGCTGGGCAGCAGCTTTTGGAAGCCGTGGTAGTGAGTCCAGGTCTTCAGGTCTCTGAAGGAAGCACCCATGAACCAGTCCCTGGGATTAAGGAGGAAGCAGAGGTTTTAATGAAGCAGACTCCATTCTTTGGAGGGGTGACGGGAGGTAAGGGAAGCTCCTGTTGCTTATGTGATTATTGCTAATTACTGTAATTGAACATCCTCATGACCCAAAATATTTGGTGCCTGAGGTAAAGCTTGATTGCTTCTGTCCTTCTTTCAACTGTCTCTTGGTGCCCTCTCGAGGTAGGAGAGCAGCCAGTTTTATTTGCTATTTTACAGCAGCTGAAACACAAACTGGAAACACAGACCTTGGTGAAGAAGCTGAGAAATTGAAATTGCTGTTTGCTTTAAAAAAAAAAAAAAAAAAGGAAATTTGCTGTAAATCATGCAAAATCAGATTGAGATTTTTTTATTCCCATTTGAAAAAAGTACATGAATCTCTTTGTGTCCAGCTTTTCTCTGAGATCAAGCACTAGAGAAGACACAAAAAGTGTACTTCATAGTGCCTGAGGCCACAAAGGTGCATATCACTGCACTGTGAACAACAGATCATCACAAGGTCAAAGAAGGAAGGAAGCAGATTTCCCACAAAATGCTCTTATGGCTTTGACACTGAGCACAGAATGCATCAAGAAATGCTGACATGTTTGGAAAACTAAAATGGATTAGGAAACCATGACATATTAGAAAGGCAAACCTTTGGGCTCAGGTCACCTAGAGGATATTGTGCTTGTGGGGAAAGTCTGTGAGTGAAGTGCCTGTCCCTCCTGTTCGAGGAAGCCAGGTGCTTTGAATGTGATCACCACCTTAACTGTGAAAGACTGCAAACTGTAGGTTTCTCTTTAAAAGTGACTATGAAGTGTTTGGTCTTGAAATATCTCTTGCCAGGTGACAGCAGATTTTCCTTCCAAAATGCCTTACCTTAAATTCGTCAAGGAGCAAGGATTGGCAATACTGTGGGTACTCAAGAGTCAGTGGGATAGGGTTGATGCTGAGTGTTTGGGGCAAGAGCATCCTGTCTGAGAGATGAGCACGCCGTGGGTGCACAATTATTTATGAGTAGTTTCCCTTACTGCTGAGCAGGATATATTTAATCTCACCGTGCAGCCCCTGCGTTCACCTTTTCACAGGATCTTGAGTTGCTCCAGGCTCTTCCTGTCTGATCCCATTCAATGCTGGTATGGGGGTTTCAGGAGTATAGACACGGAGGAAATTACTGTCTGTATTTTGTTAAAGTATGTGTCCTTTAAGACCTCCTGCTCTTTCCAGGTTCCCAAACAGCAGCTATCACTGTGAAATCTGCTATGCCCCTTTGACCAAAAATTTTGTTTGTTTGTTTACAGTATAACCTTCAGACTAGATGAACACAGAGTGCTTGATCTGGACTTAGTCTGAGAATGAGCGGAGGCTGTGGCACCCTGTGGAGATACCACAGACTGCGCACATTCAAGGCCCACCAATGTGGTGGGGTAATGAATGCAACTCTGCTTGGCTAAGTGAGTGGTGTGACACCTTTTCTCCTCCTGATAGCACAACAGCTGTGATTTTCGGAGGCATCTGAACCAGTTGGCATCTGGGGAGCAAGATTTTCTCAATGGAAGGTTTTGTTCTGCTCTGATTTTCCTCTGCTGCTCTTACATACCATGGACTTTGTGAGCTAGTCACAACAGCCCCTCCTCCATCCCATCTTTTACATTCAGTTTTTAGAGTTTGGAAGGCTTTTAATGTGTTGATTTTGTGTCCAAATTGGATACATTGTAAAAGTTTTTTTTAAATATTTCTGCTTTTCATAGAAAACTTTTGATGGGGATAGTTGGAAATAAATGTAAACAAATGCTGAACAACATGCTGCATCTGCAGGCATAAATCCGCTCCACAGACCTGCAAATTGAAGTCTCAAAGCTCCTGTTCTGTTGAAAGGAGGAACACGGGCTTAACAAGGGGTAAGATGTTAATAAAATCTTTGTTCACTGTTACAATAAGGAATAGCTAAACGTGGTTTGGGGTTTCTGCCAAGTTAACCCTGACCTATGCCCATTCTCACAAGTACTGCTAAGAAAACCCTTAACCCTTATTAAAGATAAAGAATGAAAAACAGTTAATACTTTTAATTTTGAATGCTGTATTTAAAGCAGAAGTTTTTATTTTAAAAACATTCCTTATTCCCTTTGCCTGTTGCTAGACCAGGGGCTTTAAAGAAAAGACACATTTTATGTGGCATTAACTTTGTGAGTAAAACCCAATTGTCTTAGATGGTTTGAAACTAGCCCTGCCCTTAATATTATTGGAGTCCTATTTTTGTTAAGATGAAAGTGCAGATGTTCTGAGTCCCCCTAAACAATGCTTAACCCAGCTTATTTGACTGTTTCCTTCCCTGCAGTCTGTTAGACTCTGCCCATCTATGGTCTCTTCCTTGTTGTTGGTAGCTACTTGGGGCAGGAACAATGTGCATGGAAGATTTAGATCCATGACTGAGCAGAATTGCTGTGGTAATTGGAATAATAACAACAAAAATAATAACAACATGGAAAAGTAAGACAACATTCAGTCAACATTTCAACTTTTTATTTCTTCAATGAATAAAGGCAAAAGAGAGACAGCTTCTGTCTACAGTCTTGCCTTTCATTTGCAACTGTGCTGTTAGGGACAGAAAATCTACTCAATAAATGGTCTCGGAAACCCTTTTGATGAGTAGGAGGTTGTAGGAGGTGTTTTTTTAGGTGCATCTCCACAAGAAAGCTGGTAGTGGTACGATGGTAAGTAGTATTACCTTGACAACTAGAGAAGAAATGAAGGAGAGAGGTAGCAGGTGTACCTGGGTGCTCTCTGGTCAGGTCAGGATGTCTTGAGCACTGGGGCCACAGAGGTCCAGCAGGCTGGCAGAATATGCTGGGGTGATACTCACATTTTTTTTTTCCAACCCTCATACCCTCCTCTGCTCTCCTTTGTGCCACCCACTCATCTAAGGAAAGGTGATTTATTTATTCTGGTAGAATTAACTAATCAAAATACACTATGCTGTTTCAATTATAAATGTTTCCTCCCATTCTTAAAATGTTTCCACTTGTTTTCTTGGCAGGACCTTGAGGATCTCTCCTGAGAGTTCCTTTTACATAGATATGCACAAAATGAATAGTTTATCTCCACCTCCTGCTGACTTTATAAATAATTTTATGTAAAAAGCTGAATTGGACTTCTGCTGTGTTGAATAACTAGGGAGTGCCAGCCTCTAATATTCCAGCCACAGACCGGAACAGACTTCCCAGTTTTAGAGGCCAAAGTGGCCTCTCTGGCTTCCACTCACCTGCAACCTTTCTTGGAAATTTCTGATACCTTTCCCTCCTGGCTGCTTTGGGCTCCCCCAAATTAAGAGAAGCTTTAGGTCTTCCAGCTGGCAGAACTTCTCTTGTGAATGAAAGCTATTTACTTAAAAAAAGAAGATACGGTGGGGCACAGGACTGTGATTTTTACTGTTTCTTGTTCACTTTCCCATGTATGTGCCTGAAGGTGAGCAGCTTGTTTTTTGGGGTGTATTCATCTGCAGAGTCTCACTGAAGGCAAACAGAATTGCTTCTCTGACTCAAGTCACGCATGTGCCTAAATGATTGCAAAAGACTGAAAGGAGTTGGGAGTATAAATAATAGCACTACTTCATCTCTCACAGAGCGGCGCCAACAAAATAATGAAGCCATGTGAATAAAGAACCAACATAATAATCAAGCTCTAACCATTTTTGGAAAATTAACACTTCTTCCATAACAGTAACGGCTGCTGGGAAAATGGTACAAAATATTAACTGTCAGGTTAAGCACACCTTAATCAACATATGCTGAGTCCCAGTGATGTGTCCTCAAACCTGTTACTTAAGTACTTGTTAAGGCCAATTAAATAAAATTTTAAATCCTAATAGCACAAACCACATAAATGGCATAAAAGAGCCATAATGGTTGAATGGGTGGATGTTTAGCCCTTCTTGATTTAAAACAGTGAAGTGAAAAATGTTGGAGCCCTTGAAGATGATTTTGAAGATGGGGAAGTGACTGTGCTACACAAACAGCAATCAGAGACAATTAAGAGAACTGGGACAAGTGCCTCATTCTCTCTGCAGACTGCATGGGAAATTGCACTTTACGTTTCAGTCTTGTTGCATTTCAAATAAGGCCCCCAGCTATGTCATTTTTCAAGTCCAACTCAAATCAAAAGATTCTGCTTAAAATCTTCCTATTACTCCAGAAGTGAAAGAAATGATTGCCTATGCTGATGAGCCTGGATGGTTGTCTTGGAAAGAATTTGACAGTTTTGTCTCCAGGTCCCATTATAACATTATTAGTGCCCCTGAAGAACGCTGACAGAGCCTGAATACCAATGTAAGTACGAGGGTAGTTTAGGATGATTCTCTGCCACGGCAGATTTCATGTTGTTTCTCTGCACTGTAGAGAAACTGTGCTATGCTGTGCATGTGTTTTCTTTTAAAGCTTTATCTGATGAAGACCTATAGTAGCAAAAGAACAGCGAACACAAACAAGCTAAAAAAATCCCCTAAAATGGAAAGAATGAAAATAGGGAAAGGGGGAAATAATTATCAATAACCTTATCCCTATGCAGGATGCATAGCTCATGAGTGATACTTTTTCAAGAACTTTCTGTTAAGGATGGAGAGATTTCAGTACATGGTTCAGAAGTCTACGGATGTACAGAAGTGGTCTCAGTTTTGTAGCCTTCTTCACAAAGACAGGAGTGCAATGAGCTTTCAGAGCTCTTGTAGCTCTTTTGGTTTGTCATAATATGCTATGATGCCTAAAAATGAGCACCTTAGTTTTTAAGCATGCTTAAATACCAATTTAAGTGACTACATTTCCCCTGCTGCAAATGTGCATCTGCATGTCATTTGTGTAATACTTTTGCTGATGTTTAATCTCTCAGTTATGAATAAGAAGTAAATGGGAAGTAAGATGAACATATAGAATTAAGTTCCTTACTAGAACATCAGTGATTTTTTTATGTGATGCATATACAAGACAGACCGTGTACTTAAAAAAACCCAAGAACAAAACAGAGGGGCTGGAGACAAGGGATGTGTGCTAGGGGCACTGCCCGGCTGTGCCGTCTTGGGAACAGTGCCCAGCTAACTGTTCGCGTCTCTTTCCTCCTTGCTGCAGCCTAGGAATACCAGAACCCTGAGGATGCCTAGTTCCAAGTACCGCTTGCTTTCTCTGGGCTCCATGGAGCCTCTCTGCCTTCATCTCCCTTCATCTCTGGCTGCCTGCTGGGGAGCAAGCAGTGGCCTAGCTACTGCTGTTGCCCCGTCACGAGTTGTAGTGCAGAGGCACACAGGGTAATCATGCAATCTGGCTGGCTGCCTGTGTGATGTCCAGTAAACCTTTCCTTAACCAGCCCTGACTTCTCTGCTCACTGTTGTGAAAACTGTAAGATGAAGGGGCTGTGTTGCATACACTGAAGTGATGCAAGCTTTGCCTTACAGCATTTTCTTCAAGGAAGTATCAGTGTCAATCTCATCTTACTGTTTTCTTTGTGTAAGCCACTTTTTTCTTTTAAAGTTGTTTTGTGTTTGTGGAGTGGATTTTATGTTTTGGGGTTTTTTTAATTTATTTTTGTGTGGGTTGTGGTTTTTTTTGTTGGTTTTTTTTTGTTTTTAAATTAGAAAGGCTCCAAATGTAAATGTGCTATTATGCTAATCAATAGAAAGTTAGTATAAGACCTCTCCAGTCAGATACAATCAACTCTGCTTAAACCAGATCATCTTAAAAAACAAGAACCTAAATCAGTTATTTCCAGATTAAAGATTTAAAATTTTTACATTTCACTATGTAACAACTGACTGAGAGATAAATTATGGTTATAATGATGATCTAGTACTTGCACTCCCCAATTCAGTGCATAAGCCACCCAGATCCCTGGAAAAACAAAAAAGCAATGTCTTGTTGATTTGTGAGGGGTGCCGAGCAAGTGCGCTCAGTAAAATGAAAAGGAATTTGTGGAGGAAAAAGGCTGCTTCTGAGTCAGGGATTGTAGAAGTAATTTATAAATTGTGATGCTGCCAAAAGAAGCCTTTCTCAGTGTGGTGTCAGAAAGCAAGTCCAGCTAGATCATTCACATATGGAACTACTGCAAAACAGCATTCACTGTATCAGGATAAGGAACCTTATCTTGATACCCAGGCTCACATGTATGTCTCTATCAGAAAGCTCATTAATTTCAGTTGGACTTCTTGGAGCATGGTACTGCTCAACTAATGAGTACAAATTTGGGTCCTAACCTGATTGTTTTAAAATGGCTTTATCAGAATTACATTTAGGGGCAAATCCTTGTGACACTGAGAGTTTTGTGACTTAGTTTCTGTATTACATGATAATTAACTTTTCTTACATTTTAATGTACCTCAAATATGTAAATCCTAACTGGAAGGAATACATTTATGTACATTAAAATGATATATCTAAAATGCAACATTTTTTTATTTTGTATTCAGTAGTAACTCTGTGGCTCTGCATTAATATCTCTGTGGTGGCTTTTGAAACAGAGCCGAAAGGCCAGTGGGAGTGAAATACCAACCTGAGATTGCAGTCTAGCAAGAAAAGCAATGCTGTCACTGCAGAGGGACTTCCAGCAGAAGAAGTGACACATGCAGTTACTGAGACTGTCAGTTCAAATCCGTGTTGCTTTGGTATCCTGGATAAAGATCAGGACAACTTAAGAGTGGGCGGCATGCCATGCAGGCAGATGATAGATCGGTGAGCAATGCAGAGACTGTGTAGGAGCACCAAGTGTGGATTCTGACAGCAGTGTTCCTTACTGGGACACTCCAAACAGCTGGCCAGCCTGATGTTCCTAAAAACAGTTTTTGTTTTAGGAAGCGCCACAGTTTGTTTCTTTCTAAATGATGTAACACACTGAACAAACCAGAGTTCGGGGGGGGGGGGGGTATTGTTAGTTAATGTTGGTAAAGTTGGCTTGAGATGCACAAAAAGAAGGACGTGGAGAAGGGGCATTCCCTGTGCTTTTCTGTAGTAGGGCAAAATAGATCTCACACACTGGTGAGTGGAGCAGCGAGAGGGAGTGCCATAGCTGCTGCTGCTTAAGTATGGAGAGGAGAAATCTAACGTTAGATTCAGAAGCTGAAATTCGTCACAAACTCACACTACAGCCTCCCTGTCTGAAGAGGATCTATGTTGGGGTAGGAGTGCTGTGGGACTAGGAGACATTTACTAGACAGGATAAATTTGGATTCCTGTTACAAACTGGGAAACTGAAACCCAAAGGTGAAAATCTGATACCAGTGCTTTTTAGTTTTGAAGAAAATAATTTAAAAGTTTATCTGAATTTAAATATTTAGCTTTAAGCACTGTATTTCCTGGCACACTAAACTTTAAATGGTTAAATTAAATGATTCAACTCCAAGTAAAAACTGGGCTGCTATATAGGCATTTGAATGATTTGTCTTCATGTGTATGAGTATCCCTTTGACTTACAGTATTATATCCCTTTTGTTTGCAAAAATGGATAGGGTATTCCCAGAAAGATACTCTCTCCAGACTGTGCTTTATTCTGTATTATGGTAATCAGTGCAAGCTGCAAGTCAA